CTTACAGCAACTTCGGGGTGATGAGTCATTAGTCCCCCAAAGAGTGCCCTCCTAGAGGAGAAAATTGCAAACTGCCTGCCTCTCCCAGAAATATCAAGTTTCTTTCCAGTAATAGAGAAAAGGGCACATGCTTTGGCTCTGCCAAGTCTTAGGCTGTTTCCTTGGTAAGCTTTTATTCACCCTCTACTGTTTTCATGGCACAAACTTTCTTTGGCAACTAGGTTGTCTTTGTGACCTTCAAAGAGTTATAATACCTCTCTAGGAGGGGTTCCTAATATTTTATCCTGGTTCGCTTTGACAGTTTGGTGAAGTCTATGAACTTCTCAGAAGAATGTTTTTAAATACTTAAGATAAAATACAAAGGAAACTAACTATATTGAAATACAGTTATCAATATGTGTAAATATGTATTCTATATACACACATATGTGTATACAGATATACGTATATGTATACAGATATACATATATGTATACATACATAAATATATACACACATGGAGCCCATATTGCTATTCCTTGTTATGTAGGAACTCAACCTTAAAGTGGCACTGGATACGAAGGCCATCTTCTACCCATTCACCATTCAGAATACAAAACTCCATCAAAAATTTGGAAACATCCCTTTGCTCCCCTTTCCTGACTCTCTTCATTTACCTCCATTCCACTCTCCATTTTTCACATTCACCAATCAATAAAGAAGCAAGGAAGGAAAAAAGAAAGAGAGGTGTCAGTAAGGAAAACTGTGGGAGCCCAGGTTCCTTCTCCATCTCTCCAGCTAAGCAGAAGCAAACACAGGTTAGGGAGTTGGTAAGTAGGGCAATGACCACAAAGCCCTTCCAAGTACATAGAGCTGCAAGAATGCTTTGTACCTTCTGTGCCAATCATTCACAATCAAATAAAATGCCTTCCAGAACATGAAAGTTGCAAAGAGGCAGTTTTAGGCCCTTTGTAAAAAAACAAACCAAAAACTAGCAATTAGAAACTTCTAGAAGTGGAATGGGCTGCCTTGGGAGGCAGAACTCACTTGAAGTCTTCAAGAATTGGAGGTCTTTAAGTTAAGCTTAGCTGTAGGCTAAGATGGTGGTTTCCACCATTTTTTTGTTCCTTGAACCCCTACAAAAACAAAAAATGTGCTGTGAACTCTCTGAGTAATTTAATATGTAATTTACTAGTTATTTTATATAGTAATTAACATATTAATATAATGTATAATATTCTTTTAGATTCATTCATGAAGTACTTATAACTATAATAACTTTTGTCCAAAAAAGCTCATGATGGTTTTGAATCACTATAGAAACAAACCTATAAAGCTTCAAGAATACACATACTTGTTGTCATTGAAGAAGAATATATTTGTAATATGATTGAGCAATTATTTATTGCTTAAGGCATTATTAAAGAATTTTTAGTGTGAACCTCTTTAAGTTCCACCCTTGGACCATTGTCATAATCCCAAGGGGTTTGAGAACCACTAAATGGGAAACACAGGGCTAGGATATCAGTTATTGGGGATATCATATAGAAGTGTTTTTTATTTGTTAGTTTTTTTTAAGATATGCCTCTTTTTTTTTGTTCTTGAGACAATTGGGGTTAATTGACTTGCCCTGGGTCACACAGCTAGTTAAGTGTTATGTGTCTGAGGCTAGATTTGAACTCAGGTCCTCCTGACTCCAGGGCCAGTGACAAAAGAAATGAACTGGGGCAGCTAGGTGGCACAGTGGATAGAACACTGGCCATGTGACTTGCCCAGGGTCACACAGCTTCTGAGATCCCTTCCAAATCCAACATTACATGAAAAGGGATAGTGCTGAGCTATTGAAGCCACTATTGGGAACATACTCTGAAAGTTATCAAAAATAAAAACAGATGTATTCTGCATGATTTCACATGTATAATTGATATTGTATTGCTTGTCTTCTCAATGAGTGGGGAAAGGACTGGAGAGAGGGAGAGAATTTGGAACTCAAAATTTTTAAAAAGTCACAAATAAATAATAAATTTATTTTAAAAACCCCAAAAGAATAGTTATCTGCTCAAAGATTTTTATAGCAGCATAATTTGTAATTGCAAAAAATACAATGCATCCTAAATGGTCAGGAAGAGGGGAATGTTTAAATAAGCTGTGGTACATTAATGCAATAAAATATTAAAATATAATTTAGACAATGAGAATCAAGAATACAAAGAAATTTGGTGAGAGCTATTTGAAATAATGCAAAACAAAAAAATCAGAACTAGAGGAGTGAAATCTAGACTAATTCTGAACATATTAGGAAAAGCCAATAAAAATGAACAAACAAAATATTTGATGGGAACCTAGAGTGACTGGAATAGCAGTATACTTTATGAATTGAAATTAATTTATTTACAAGAAAGATGTCTAAGCAGGAAGAAGTAGTAGAGATCAACTCTTCTGTCCACCAGTTTCCTCCACTATTCCAGCAAAGATTTAAGAAGAATGCCAGACATAGTAGTAATTTTGCAATCTCAGAAGAAACCATCATGGGTTATTTAAAAACTTAAGATCTAGAATTTGGCCCACAGGCAAGTGACTAGGTCAGGAGCTGCAGAATAGAGGTAGATTTGCAGTCCCACCTTTCAGCCCCCTTCACTCTGAAAACAAAGACTTGTAAGGAGAATTAGCAGTTTAGCACAAGAGGTACAAAACCTTTCCCAAGTCACAGACTCCTTGAAATTAAAAATCAATTTACTTACGTGTAAATAGTTTAGTACTGATGTTTGAAATTAAGCTGTTAATAAAATAATTATTGAGAAAGATGGAGCCAACAGTAGATGGTTAGGCAGAGCCCATGGCTTCAGGGGTGGGGAACCTGCAGCCTCCAGGCTACATGTGGCCCTCTAGATTCTCAGGTGTAGCCCATTGACGCAATCCAAACTTCACTGAACAAATCCTTTTATTAAGCCTTAAACAAGCAACTCCAGATAAAGCAATTGGCAGCTGGTAGGTGCTTCAGGATCCATAGAAACCCTGACAAATATAACATGTCTCCAGCACCCCACAGCAAAGACAATACTGGGCTCTGGAGTCTGTGGTTGCTCAGCACAGCAATGGGAATGGAGAAAAAGATAGACACAAGTCAGCAAAAATAAGTTTCTTTCTCCTTAAACTTCTGACTATAGCCTCCTAGGTGATGGCAAGAATGCACTTCAGAACTAGAATATTCCACTGAGAGGGAAGAGCACCAAATAAAGGATTTTTTACTGGATTGAGAAAAATGAAGGGGAAGTGTGACTATAAATTCCTTTAACAAATATGAAGAAAGCAAGGCAACTAGCAGTGGATGGAGCACTGACCCTGGAGTCAGGAGACCAGAGCTCAAATTCGGCCTCCCCCAAATCCCCCAAATATTAAGAAAGTACAGTAGGAAAATATTTACAAACATTTGAGATGGTACTATAATGTGAGAGGGATCCTGGCAGAGAAGATAGTGGGCTGGCCTTGGAGTCAGGAAAACTCTGGTTCAAGTTCTGCTCCTGACATACGCTTTCTTTCTGTCTAGCCAAGTCACCCAACACCTTTGTGTGACTCAGACAATTCCCTAGAAGCCATTTACTAAGGTAAAGAAGGTTTAGGAGCTCGTTGGTGGGGGGAATTCTCATATCTAGAGCCTCTCCTCCTTGACAGACAAAATCCGAGATGGTTTCCTAACTTCCATTAGCATATCAATGAACAAGTACTTTACTTTTATAAACTTCAACAAACATTTATTAAATGTCCATTCTGTGCAAGTGCTGGAAGTAGAGTCCCCGACCTCCTACCTTCCCCCAGCTTACGTTATAAGCTGGGTGTGAGGGGAATATTGAATTGAATAGTCAAATACTTCAGTGACATTTTTAATAAATGTGGGGATAAGTGAGAAGTCCCGCGCCCTTCAGCAGCAGTCCTCAAAAGATTAGAAAAGGGGACCGCTAGGTGGCGCAGTGGATAGAGCACCGGCACTGCAGTCAGGAGGACCTGAGCTCAAATCCGAACTCAGACACGTGATACTCACTAGCTGCGTGACCCTGGGCAAGTCACTTAATCCCGAATGCCTCACCAAAAAAAAAAAAAAAAAAAAAAAATTAATTGGTGGACCAACTTCAGAGCACCACCTGCCTAAGACTGGGCACTCAAGCCCCGAACAGAAGAACATCACCCAGATACCCAGATGCCCGAAGGGAGGACAGAGAGAGAGAGAGACAGAGACAGAGAGAGAGACAGGGACAGAGAGAGAGACAGACGGAGAGAGACAGAGAGAAAGAGAGGAAGAGAGAGGTGTCAATTAATGTAATGCAAAGTCTGTGTGTTTGTGTTTAGTGCCAAAGGGACACGGGAGGGAAGAGGATGAGAATTAGCCAGAATCTGCTATCGCTGCAGTCAGCCTGCTTCTGGGCACTTTGGAGCCAGGGTGGAGCTGATTAGCCACCCTTTTCTCTCTACCCTGTCATTCCCTTGGAGGAGGGTTGGGAGTGAAACTTCCCCTTCTTTTGGACTGTTCTAACTGACTCAACTATTCTACCTCTGGACAGTCGTCGCCTGGGGCGGTTGACATGCCAACATTTGGCTCTTGGGAAATAGGTCCACACCTACTTATGAAACTGGAGGAAAAAGACGTGTTGGTAGTAACATTTGGCCCTTAGTTGGCTTGGCTGCTCTGGTGAGGCTTCCCCCTCTCTCCAGCTCTGGGACCCTTTTCTGTCTCAGGGCTCCTAGACCTGGCGAGCGCGCTGGGGGCGTACGTTAGCTGGCGACCACGGATCTAAAACCGCTATTCCTTACTGAGGCCCACACTGCACGCCGCATGCCCCACGCTTTGCTGACACCCAGCAGCCACCCTGACTCAAGCACACAACCCCGGAGCACACAAGCGTGGAATCACAATGACATGCGCCCGCAAGCTCTACGGGAAGCTAGCTCTGGCTAAGGGACCCCCGAGGGAGAGACCATGAGATTCCCAGGGCTGCGGCACCCCCTCACCCGGGTACGGTACCCACCTCCGTGATGATGGTGGATAGATACGTGTCCTGGCTGTACTCCCAGCCGTCCAGACAGGGCTCCAACTCCACCTGACTCAGGTTCACGTCCCTCCCGGGCACCAGCCCCTGGGCCGAGAAATTGGTCAGCGCCGCGAGCTGGTAGCGCTGGCACTTTCTGGGCACCTCGCGATCGTCCTGCATTTGCCGCGGGATGGTGTAGTTCCTCCACTCGCTGCTTAGGTTCGCCGAGGTGGGCACCCGGCAGTGGTGCTCTGGGATCCCCGCCAGGAACACTATCGACATACTATTGAAGCCGTTGGGGATGATGCTGGCGCTGAGTAGGAAGAAGATGAGGCGCTGGAAGGGTCCCCACTCGCCCAGGAAGGCTGTCACCTCGTCATAGTCCCTCATGTCGCAGCTCGGGAGAGATAGAACGTCCCCCGGAAAAGACTGGGAGACCTGGCGCCTTTATTGACTGAAGCCCCGCAGCTGGATGTAGACGGGGGTTAGTGAGGCGGGGCCTCCCCAATCTGCTCCTTCCTCCACCCTCCTCCCCTTGCGCTGCCCTGGACGCAGGGAGGTACGATTGGTCGGCTGCTGCTCTGAGTTCCCTTTGTCCCGCCCCTTCCCACAGGATAGGGGCGGTGGCAAGATCTCTAGCGCTGGAGAGCTCCACTTGCTCTGACCTTAGTCGTACCAGTTTCAGGTCAGTAGGAATGCTGTCACATGTGGAGGTGTGTGAGGGTTATAATTTTCGTTAGGGTCCAAGAGTAGGAAGGAGCTTAGAGAAATACATGTGGCCCATGCCCCATCTGCCCACCCTGCTCCTATAAGGCCATAGGGTCTTGGGCAGAAGTCGTGTCCAGCTCAAAGGAGCTATTCAATACTGCCGTTCTCTGCCGGATTCACACCATATCCAGCGTATTGACTTACATTCTGGGTACCACATTTTAGGAGCGACTTTGAGAGAAGGGCAAGACTGATGAGGACTGGAGATCATAGAAGGATCTATTGAAAGATCTGGAAGGAGGTGGGGTGGTGGGAGGGGTTTCGTTTTAACATGGAAAAGGGTTCAAGGAGAGAGAAATAATAACTGCTTTCAAGTATTTGAAAAGTTATGGTGGGGAAAAGAAATGAGACTTCTTCGGCTTGTCCCCAGAAGGGATTAGGTGAAATGGATGGTATTGGACGGGGAGACTCATTTAGGGGAGGATTATGAGGAAGGACATCTTAAATAGAGGTGTTCAAGAAAGTGAGTTCACTGTTACTGTAGGTTTTCAAACAGAGGCTCTATATGACACTTATCAGGAATGAGATTAGAGAAGATATTTTCGGAGATTTCTTCCAACTCAGATTCTATGGTTCTAAGATTTTGTAGGATCTCTAAGAGAGATCCTAGGGGATTTGGTGGGGTGCCTCTTTGGAGGGTTCACCTGAAACATCATTGTCTGAAAGAGATCCTGGGACCCAAGGCAGCAAATTTTTGTTTTCTGTTAGGCTGGGCCTTTGATCCACCTTTCTTCCTTATCCATCTCATATTGTCCCTTTCTTCCTGTTTCTTTGGGAATATTCAGACAGGTCTGTAAAAGGCCCTTGTAATTATGTAGCCAGAGAATGACCCTCAGCCCAGAGAAGCCCTCAAATCACAGGAGAACACCCCTTCTTCTTCCTTTGGTCTCCAGGGAGGACATATTTGTTCCCAAGTCAGGGAAATGCTCTTGGGGGTGGGGATGAGATGAGATTGCTAATCACATAGAGTTAGTTCTAGGTGTGTATGCTTGAAGGGGAGACCTCTTGGGAGGCCTCTAGTCTCTCAAGTGTTTGATTTTTTCAGTGACTCAGTTTAGATCAGCTAGGTGGCACAGGAGATAAAGCGCTGAACCTCAAGTTAGAAAGACTGGAGTTCAAATCTGACCTCAGGCACTTATAAGTTGTGTGACCCTGAGCAAGTCACTTAGCCTCCACCTACCTCAGTTTCCTCTTCAGTAAAACAGGATAATAATAATAGCACCTACTTCCCAGGATTGTTGTGAAGATAAGCAGAGACAACATTTATAAAGCATTTTACAAACCTTAAAGTGCTATATAAATACTGCTAGGATATAAGGGCCCCTTCCCCTCAAGTGACCTGTGGATATATTTCAGGGGGTTCATGAACTTGGTTGGGGGAAAATTGCATCTTTATTTGAATGTAATTTATTGCCTTCATAATCCTCTTTATTTTATAAATTTAAAAACATGATTCTAAGAAGGCATTTCTAGGTTAGCAGACCAGGATATATAAAAAGTCAAAAGCTCCTGGTTTAGATGGTTTATACTTCAGAAGATCCAGCCTAGCTTCAACCCTTAGAGGACTAGTGACTTTAGGTAATTAGTGAAGATGTATGTTGTTCAAGGTCAGGGTGGGCTGAAGTATTACTCTAAGACTTCCCTTAATCCAAAAGATTTGCAAAGAAGTATGTGATTTACTACATCTGTCTTTTAAACAGTTTTGTACCTTGGGCAAGATGCAAAACTTAAATCAAAATTGTCCAGTGCTTTCTGAATTTTCTAAATTCAGCTGTAATTCTAAATTCAGCTAAATTCAGGGTAGCTGCTCCCTGCCCAGGTCTGCTTCTTGCCAACTTCCCCAAGTCTGATACTCTGTTAGATCAGGTATGTGTGGAGAGTTTGGGGTAGAAGTAGGGATCAGTTCAAGGAGCTGGCATATCTTTTTTTTTTTGACTTATTTTTTTTTGTTAAATTTATCTAGTTCTGAGAGGGGAAGCTTGAAGTCCCCCTCTATGTATCTATCTCTGCCTATAATTCATTTAATTTTTCTTTTAAAAATTTAGATGCTATATTATTTGGTGCATCTTCTGCTGAATATACCATCTCTCTCTGGGCAAAGTGAAGAAGTAATCAAAATATGTCCTTAAGGGATCATAGCTACATCTTGCAAACTTGCCTCTACTTGATAATCCAAAATATACTCAGTGGGAAACCTCCCCTCTCTTCATGTCCATTTACTAATCTTTTATGGTTCCTCTTTCTAGTCTTTGTTTTATTTTTTTAGTCTCCAGTGATACCATTTTTTGCCACCATCACAGAAAGAAATCCTGTTGGATTGAAGTCACATGTAGTCTTCTTTCTCGTTTCTCTCATTTGTTGTCTACTCCATTATGACCTCCTTGAGAAAAAGGGACTGCCTTTTGCCTTTCTTTTGTATCCCTAGCACTTAGCATAGTGCCTAGCACACAGCAGACACTTAATAAATGAGAACTATGTTAAAGTTTTTAAATTTCCTTCTAGTAATCTTTACTTTGGGGAGTTCAGGGCTGTTTCTCCTGGAGGTTATTTGTCTGGCTGAAACCTATCCAATGAGATGTTACATTCATGAGGTGAGAAACCAAAAGGGAGTCAAGGCATCCCAAAGTAATTTAACTTGCTTTTTTGTGCAAGGATCCCAAAGGTTCCAACGCTGTGTTATCTTTGGGGCATGTAAATCTCCCCTCTCAATCATTGTGAATCCTCTAAATGTAGTTTAATTTGTAGCTTCACTTAGTTTACCCATAGACTTTAAAACTAACTATGCTTAACTAAGTCTACTTCTCTGGAGGATTATGAAGTTACGATGCTAGTAAACTAAGTCCATCTAATTTATGACCTAAGAGGATGTACAAGATTGCTGTACAATCAAAAATCATTTCTCTGTCTCTCTGATGTAATTGGAAATTATATAAGCTATGTTAGAACCCTAATTTGAGTGGAGAGTTATTTTTCCCAGTTCTGAACCTGGGCTTAAGCATAATAAAACCTAGGTTTTAACTTTTGGGATTCTGCTTTGTGATGGTGATATTCAACAGCAGTTACCTATCACATGAATTCAGAGGGAATATTTTCCCAGAGCAACTGACTGATTGACTGACCATGTGTCAGGGAGGCAGGAAGCAGGGGAGAGGGACAGAAAAAGGAAAAAACCCAACCTTTCAGACCTTGGAGCTCAGCTTTTTCTTGATGAGTAGAGGTTGAGGCCATTATCTTTCCCATATCCTGCTTCCCAACTAGGAAGATTTCCTTCACTTAAGCAGTATGTGGGTGTCCTCTGTTTCCTAGCCCTACTTCCAGCCAAAATGCTTCATTAACTAAGAAGGAAGAGCCCTTTCTGTCAGACAAGTCACTTAGGGTAGCCTTTATATATCCCACCATTGAGGAGGCAGAATTCCTTTCCCTGGGGCATAACTTCCCAAGAAGAGCTCTGTTTTAGAGCACCTAGCCCTAAGAGATTTTCTTTCAGTGATTTTTTTTAAAATTATGAATGATACACTCTCATCACATATAAATAACAGCACATGGAATTAAATATCAAAGAGAATTGCCAAATCTGGATTATATTTTGTCATCAGCTAGGTGGTACTGTAGCTAGAGCACTGGGCTTAGAGTCAGGAAGACTTGAATTCAAATCCAGCCTCAGACACTTAAAGTTGTATGATCCTGGGCAAATCATTTAACCTCTTTCTCAGCTTTTTCATCTGTATTGTGGGGACAGTCATATGATGTCCTATATTTAAATTCCTCATTTGTTCTAGTTCTTCTTGTTCTTGTTTTTTCTTCCTCCTATACCTTGGATATTGAACCTGTCAATGTCAACATGAGACTAATAGATATTTTCAGTAGAAATTAGAAATCCTTTAGCTCATACATTGTAATAACTTTAAACTAGGGGTTTTTAACTTTTTTTGTCATAAACCCCTTTGGCAATATGGTCAAGCCTATAGATTCTTTCTAGAATAATGTTTTAGATAATTGAAAGAAATACTGAGAATGTTGTATACAGCAATAGCAATATTGTTTTAAGAACAAGCTTGACCAGGAGAACATTGTACACAATAACAGCCACATTGTGCAATGACTAATATTGATAAATGTAACCCTTTCCAGCAATACAAGGATCTAAGACATCTCCAGAGGCCTCATGATGGAAAATGCTATCTACATCCAAAGAAAGAACTATGGAAGTTGAATTGCTATTTTTTTCTCTTCTGTTGAGTTTTGTTTCCTCTTTCTGATGGTTCCTCCTATTGGTTTTAATTTTTACTTACAATATCACTAATGTGAAAATATGTTTAATAGGAATGTAAATGTATAACCTATATCAGATTGTGCACCATCTTGGGGAGGGTGGTGGGGATGTGTATGTATGTATGTATGTTCTTTCTCTGGATGCAAACAGCATCTTCATAGGACTTTTGCAGTTAATTTGGGTAGTTATAATAGTCAGAATGACTTGGCTGCTCAAACTTGTTCTTTTTTTATTTTTATTTTATTTATTTTGATTTATCAATAATCACTTCCGTATGCTTTTGAGTTTAAAATTTTTCTCCCCCTTTGTTGTATATTTAAAAAGAATATCAAGTTGTATATAACAGATCTGCAGTTTCATATGCAATCCTCTTTTATTTTCTATTCCACTTTGCTATGGAAATGATTGTTTTATTTCTTAAATTCAGAACAAAAAGATAATAAAAAAGAAAAAAAAGAAAGAA